TATGAAGAGTTAGAGCGCGCACTGAGTGCTATATTGGACGAACAAGAAACTATAAGCCAGGAAACTGAGGAAAGTAGTTTAGTAATAAAGCAGTTGGAAACGAAAAAAATTGATATTGAGAATGAAATTGCACAACTAAAAGGCGAAATTGGTGAGTTGGGCACTGCAATACGTGCACAAACTTGCACTGTCGATGAACGTAATAACTTATTAGAAAAATTAGAGCAATGTAAACATGTTCTGAAGACTAAGGATCGTGAGATGAATGAACTTGAAAATTACAATCATCAACAACAAGTTTTGCATATAGGTGCGAAGGCACAGTTAACGAAAAAGGTAATATATGTTTTATAAAAAATTTATTACTTATAGTCATCATCTACATTAATTTAGAAATTATTATTATACTTAATAGAACTAATACGGCCCACAATTGTGACAAAATTTCTCAAAAGTTTGAAATTGAACTAGTTGAGCGAAATGCTGCACTAAAGATCTTTTAGGTCGCAGTTCACGCATAGCGAAACCGCTATGTTACGTATAAATAAATCTTTCCCCAGAAATGTAGCCTAATTTCAACTCTACTTTTCCTGACCATACATATGAGATGTATTGATTAATAGCAAAAATTCTTTACATAAATTTACCTATATATGCCTTTACTTCAATTTAACATCACTTCACTATGCTTACCCTATTTCATTTTGTAATTTTTATCATCCACATAATGCTTGAATTTTTCAGGTCAACAAAAACATATACTGGTATTATCCCTGCCAGTAGTGATGATCCACCCATACGCTAATATCTTCACCATAACATACAATCCATATTCTTACTTCCCCCTACATTCCATCGTAATCCATATAATTCTTTCATGCAGTGAAGACCTATACCTCAGCACAAATATGATTTTTCAAAACTGTATTTAAATTGATTCTATTACTAAATATTTGTTTTCATTTAAGATTGAGTCTATCAACTCGCAAATACGTGAGCTATCCTATTCACAAATAGGATCAGATATTGAATCATATGAAATACCCGTAAATCCAGACAGTGAAGATTTGAAAAATGCTATACCAATCCTGAAAACAATACGTGAGCAGTTAAGACAGAAGAGTGATGAAAACGAGAAAGCACTGAAGCAATATGAAGATAAAATATTGCAAATTAGTAATGAAATCGATGAAGTGCTCTTACCCAAAAGCAGATCCATAAGCCATACACTTACGACCGCACAGAAAACTTTAGCGAGTGTTGAAGAACAAACGGAGAATATGCGTAAAGCATACGAAAGCAAAGCAGATATTTTGCTTGCAAATATAAAGGAGTTGGATGATTTTATTTTGACTTATGAGAAAATTGTAATCGAGAAGAAGGAAGAAGTGCAACAACTGAAAGAACAAAACGAAAAGTTTATGTCTGAAGTAGAGGAGAAGTACCACGCATTGGCCGATGCGCGCGAAGACTACCTAACCAAATATGACCAGACTTTGAATGTAGCCAAAGAAAAGCTGGTGGAAGTGAGAACAGTTGTTGACGAGACGGATCAAGTTTTGGCCAATTTAAAATTGAATACAAATTAAGCGTAAACAGTTTTTATTAGTTTTTAATCTTTAAATGCATTTTAAATAATTTTTATTTATTTATTTAATTTAAACACATGCAAATGTACACTACAATTATTTTTAAAATGAATTATGAGAAAAGTAAATTGTTATTTTCTTCACATTTAACAAAACGTTGTTTTTTTCTTCTTTATTATTATTGCCGCTTATTTTATTTAATGTTAATGAATGTTTTTGGTTTGGTTTAAGTATTTGAATTGCACTTTTATTTAATAGTTTGTGTGTTTAACTTGAAAAGATTTAAAAATTAATTTCATACTATAATGTTTAATTTTGGGTAAAACATTTCCGTACATGTATTTTAAAATCTATTGAATGTGTTGTTTATAGAGATCAAAGCAGTTAAATTAATATTTTAATTTAATTTGGGTTTGCTTTTAAAATATAAACCACTTACGTTAACATAATAATAAATAATTTAAATAAACAATTTGGCCAATTATGCACGGGTGCATTTAATATGTAATAAATAAATAGAATTATGTAGTATGTATATGTAAACTTAATTGTAAAATTTGTTTTTGTAATTTATGCACTCCAAATGTATAGCAATTTCAATATATCAAGAATTGATATCATTTGTGGTTTACACAATAAATATTTCGCCATTGCTACGTTGTGGCTCCTCATGAGATGCATTGGCATCGCATCTTGGTATTACTTGAGCCGTTGTAAGTGTGCGTTTGTCAAGCATTTCAGCTTCCTTTCCAATCTCAACGATGCCCTGCTGCTGAGTCTGTGTCTGTAAGGCTGCTTCTTCAGCTTCAGATGGTGGCTTATTTTCTTCTGTTCTTATTATATTTTCATCCTCTTCTAATTCCTCTGCACTATCTATTAGTTTCTCACTACCCGCAGTAGAGGAACTGCAATTGCCATTAGTTGAGCATAATTTAGTTTCGTCCAAATGTATATTGACAGCCACCTCTATTTCTTCCTCATTGTCGTTCTTACTATTTTGGAATGTAACTGAGATTTCTTGTGTTTGTTGACTTGTAGCACTAATTGTTGCATTATCATTATTTATTGGAGATGTGCTCTGCGCTGGAGCAGTTGTTATAGAGGACCACCAGTTTGAGAATGCGCCTTTGGCCTGCGAAATGGCGCCGCCTGTAAGTTGTTAAAGAATTGTTTAATTAGTTTTTTAAAACTACTTAGTTTTTATTTCATTAGCACACATACAACTTCATTTTTATTGGGTGCAAACAAACGTTTGATTCCAATTGGTACTGCAATTGGTAATATAATATCAGGATCATTGCTTTGTTCAGAAGTTAATTACGGCGGGTTACGATTAGGTTACACATATATATATGTAAATTAAGAAAATATCAAAAGGAAAAATATAAAATCAGATAACTAATCACGTCATTTGCAGATCATATAGTTAACATGGCAAAATAACCGGTCTAGTACAGCCGGGGGGAAACACACTCAATACTATTTATACTCCAAAGATAGAGTGTTACCTACTGGATTTTAGACGTTTCTTACGACAGGCATACCTTACCTAGGGAATATTCGAACCCCTTTACCCCTTTCCCACGTAAGTAATCATTTAATAATCTTAATGTATATATACTTGCCTACAGCACGGCTTGTAGTATTGACAGCTTGATTGATTTTGCGACCGCTTTCGCTGTTCTGCATAGTTCTAAAAAAAGAATATCTTTATACTTGCTGAGAAAAGTCTATACCTTAAACATACTGTGCAATTTTTAATTTCATATCGGCCACCGATAATGTACCCGCAAATGGATGACCAGCTGGCAGATTTTCAAAAAATTCTGGTTCAGGTCGTACATCATACCACTCTTGAAAACATTGTGTCCTCTTAAAAGCATGCATGAAATGTGCATTGAAATTGTCATTATCCTTAGGCGTTGCATCTAAAAGGAAAAGGAAATTGTGTGATAAATATTGTAATATTCGAATACCAAATGCTCCGCTACAAACCACTGGCAACAGCTGTGCGCAATAATGCCAATATATATCCCTGAAATTGTTCACGTATCCAGTTTTCGCTCCCTTCAGCATCTTCTTTAGGTGCATGAACGTGTTTTAATACAAAATCCATAAATCGCAAGTCCTCCGTATTTAACACAATTTGTCGCCTCAAATCCTGATCATGTATATCCATGCTACCATTCTCAATATCAATAAGCACATCAGCAAGTTGTCGTTTTTGTCTAAAGAGCACATTTGAAGTACCAATTACATAGCTAAGAACAGATGGATCTGATAAAAGATCCATATATGGCAACGAAAGATAAGGCAAGCAAAGATTTCCACTAGCAAATATTGAGATAGGTGCACGGTATTCATCCGGATTTATAGCAGACAATGTTGAAAGTGTAGCTATAAATAAGAAAAAGTTGTAAAAATATTTAATATTGTCACTTAAAAATCTTAAAAAACTTACAAACTAAAGCATCTACACTTGACTCTCTAGTCAAGGAATTACTGCGATCATTACGTTTGCCCTGTATATCTGTATATTCTGTAGAGTCCAAACGATTAAGCTCTTTTGTTGATTGGGTTGTTGAATTTGATTGTGGTGTAGTATCACCACTGCCTGATTGACTCGCCGCTGATGCTGCTGAAGATATTAACGTACAAGTAAATTCATCCACTGCCTCTACACAACTATTTGTATCTGGTGATATTTTATTTCCATCATCAGATGGCAAATCTCCGATAACTTCGGTTTCTGTTTCATGCAAAGCAGCAGCTTCTCTCTGAATAGAATCAGTATAATCTGGCATTGGTGATAATGGACGAGATGTACGTACGCACGCTACTTCTTGAAAACCTTTCTCTAATAAACGTGGTATTAAAGAAGCGATACCCAGTATAAGAACGCACATGCCACGCACTGGAGAACCAAAACAAACAATGCGTCTTTGAAGAAGGAAAAGCTTAAATAATATCAGTGTTTTGTGCCTCCAATGCAAAACAATTTCACGTAATGATAATCCAACATGAAAATGCCGTAACGGACGTCGCGATTCATCATCCAGCAAGCAAGCATTCAATTGCTGATAAGCTTTCACCAACAAGTCGGTACACGAAAAATCGCCCTGATCGAAAAATGCATCCGCAATTAGTGACAATTTTACCTCGATATATCCATAAATGGGCAAACGCGTCAAAATACAAACTGATTTTTGTACAGTGCTGCGCGTTACATCTGCAGTGCGTATTTTCAATTTCTATGTGGGAAGACTATTTATTACTAAGGACAGTTGAGTGGTTTCCTTTACATACCTCTACTGGAATTTGACGATAGCATGAAATTCCATAAACGCTTTCGGTTGGTTCCATTAAGCTAGGCAAGTTAAAAAATACAGTATCTTCAACAAAATTATGTGAGCCATCAGGCAATGCCAATGTAGGTAAATATTTCCAACCGGATGGGCACTCATTCTTACCCGTTGAACCGGGTATTAATGGTGGATGTGAAAATTCAACCTAGTATATATTAAAGTTTAGATTTTGATACAGTTCAACAGTATAAAAACAAACCTGGCAACCAAGTTTGTGGTGAAACCCTACTACCAATATATGCAGCACTGGCTTGCTTTCCGGTGTACTCATTTTTTCCTTATAAATAAAAATTCACTGTCCGACTCTTAATGTGTCACAATTGGCGACTTCAAGTCGCGACCTCTGTATGCAGTCTCAATAATTGCGGTATGATATGGGAACTAATTACAAAATGTACACCCTACCTCTTCTACCTGATCTTCTATGAATCGGATGACATTTATAACACACACTTTTGTTATTTCAGTTATTACATTTAATATTATTCTATTATCGACTGATTTTTCGTCAATAAATCATTTACAATTTACACATAATAATTTGAAATTATTTATTGTGTTTTGGTTCGACGACTTGATTGATACGTCGTAAGAAAAACACTTGCAAAATTTTTGCAGCTGTGGTTGGGTATCAATGTAAATAATCAGCATTGCCAACAAAGAAAAAAATTCAGTATTACAAAACTGATAAAAGATTTTAAAACAACAATTTTTTTTTGCTTATTATATCCACTAACGAGGATAATATACTGTACAAAATGCTTTCATGTAAATGAGCTCATTATCAATAAATTAGCTCACTTAAGGCAGAAAATGTGGAATACAACCCTTAAAAATAAATTTCTCAGAAGGGAAATTACCAAAATATGATATATGTGTCATATATTTTATATGTAAAATGTAAACAAATAACAGCTGAGCTGTAAACAAAGGCACTGAAGAATTGAGTAATTAACAAAATCCTTGTTTTTATTAATCCAATATGTAATTGATATATGAAATATATATAAATGATTCAATATATCAATTATTTGCATTTAATTTTTGTGGATGATATATTATTAAGTGAAGAGAACTTCAGCAGCGTAAATCATGTAATCAAATATAAATGAGCAAGTGTCTAAATGAGATAGTGTTACATTCACACACTATACATTATAAATTTTAATTTTTAACTAACACATATTAATTTTTTAGTATTATGAAGTATTTATACTTAATAAAATATTAATAAAAAAGTATAACATAAAATTATATTATGTTTATAAACTATGTAATTGTTCTCAATAAAAAACTAATAAACTTAATTGCACTTTGTTTTTATCTTTTTTTTAATTTTCTTCAATTAGTTGATTGAAATTTTAATTTTAAAACAATAAATTATTGTACTAATATAAAATGATAATATATCTATACATCACTAATTTTTTTGTAATATAATATTTTTAAAATATTTTTTTTGTATGCTTTCTTCCTCGATTTTGTTCTTGTTTCTAAATTTTAGAAATAAATAAATATACTACTGATAAAATATCAAGAAAAGCTGTTGAACATCGAGTAAAAATAAATTATTTATTTATTATAAAAATATAATTATTAAAACAACGACCTTAAATTCCATATTTCTAAAAATATCTCAAAATTTACATTCAAATTATTATATGGCAAAAAAGACAGAA